CACTACTACTTGTGTTGTACTCCCAGATCTCACATGGTGAATCCTACCCAATCCTTCTCCCCAACTTCTTCTAGTGTCATCTTCTTCGATTATCCTCTTCTTGTCTATAGTCTATACCGCAATTTTTTGCATGTCATTAGGGTTTTCCATATCTTTGGTACATGTATTTGCTAATCGACATACCATACTCTTGAATACAGCTAATCACACGAAGCCACCATAGCGTTGTGGCCGAGCACCCCTGAACAACAGCGAAGACCTCTTGTTCGAGTATCTGGTTCTGACAGTCTATTATTGTCATCAAACGTTATGTTGATCATTTTCCAACTGCCAAAGCTTTCGTCTTCTCATATAAATCTCAATTTCTAATTTGAACAAACGGCGAGGAGACAACAATTTGATAACCGCAATCAGTAACACAAGCTGGATCGACATTTGTGTACACTGTATTCATGTATTGTAAAACTGTGGAGACCAAGACGATCAACAGCCAACTACAACAGAAACTACGCACTCAGCGGACAAGGGCGTAAGGAGGGACGTGAGAGCAGGGTGACGACCGAGTCCCGTTCAATGGACCATGTCAGGCGGGATAACAGAGAGAGCGCAGAGGAAGCAGATGATGGGACGGACGGTGAAGGGAGCAATGAGTCGGAGAGCGACGATTGTAGTGATCGTGAGAGTACCGGTGAGAATGTTAGCGTTGTGCGTAGGTTTCGTGGTAGCAAGTCTTCAGTGTACAATCATCTGTTGGCTAGTCCTGATTGTTGCAATTCGTATTCCGACTCTTCATTCACTGTATTGTGCCGTGGTCGTCATGGTTGTGGATTACAGTTAAAGGTTTTGGAAGCCATCTGTCAGCGTCTGTATAAGCCTAATTTGTGTGTACAGAAAGATAGTATAATTGGGTTGAAATTGTTCAAGTAAAGTGTCATGTTTGGTGCGGCCAAGGTTGGCCGTTAATGTTCTAGGTGTAATGTACTGCTGTTATTTGTTATCACTTTGTCCTTCCTTCTTTCTTTCTCTTCTTTGTTCACTTTTCAGTTGCAAGTTTAGTGTTAGTACACACATTCGTTATTGCTCTCGCTTTCATTGTTAAAATTCACACTTGTAAATTTCACTGCTGTTGTTCTTAGTGTTATTTCTCTGACTTAGATTTTCTATAATAGTTCAATTTTGTTTTCAGTGTCCTTTAGTACAACGAAGATTCCTATCCTGATGAGTGTTGTACGAAAACTTGTTTGAATCCCTTTCTTTCTCTACACAATTTCTTCACATTTGTCATCGTTTTATTGCACATCGTCTCCACAGTTTTACAATACATGAATATAGTGTACACAAATGTCGATCCAGCTTGTGTTACTGATTGCGGTTATCAATTTCTAATTTGTTCGAAGTTTTATTTTACATCGTTTTATTTTGGATTTTGGTTGACTTCTTGGGCTTTGATTTTTTGGGAATTTTGTTTTTTCTGTTTTTTTTTTGTTTTTTGGGAATTTCAGTACCGCAGAATTCTGCTTACAAGTACAGTCAGTACATGATTGTGCAATGTGCTGTAGACTACTAAGTATAGTACATTAGTACTATTAGTAGTTACTTACATGACTGATTGTCTGTAGTGCTACCTACATTGGCTACAGTCAGTAGTGTGTATGCACCGGGGAGTAACTGTACAGACCAGGGAGTAGTAAAATACTACTCCCTGGTACAGACCATGACTGTAGATCTACCACAAAGACTACCACTAGTAGATCTACCAGTCAGCGCTGCAGCATGGTCAACATGGTCAATGGCTAGGAAAATCAAGACAAGAGACAAGATCTTCAAGTACATGAATCGGTAGTTGTTCAAGCTCACTTTTGTGTCTTTGCGAAAATTATTTTGCCGCAAAGGCCTCACAGCAGTTTGTTCGAACCTGTGCACGAAATGACTGAAGCGGAAGGCCGAGTGCTCCAGCAGAGTTGCTCTCAGCATGAGAGCGTGCGCGTGCAGAACATGCTGTTATCATCCAGCCAAACTGACCGGCTGCATTAGGGCTGTGAAAGACTAGGACTCAGTAGCAACCCGCCGAAATGCTGGTGTGTTAGTAAATCGGAGCTGGAAAGTGTTTGCCGGAGGCTTTTCGTTGCGACGATCCGTAGATCTACGATGTTGTGTACAATCGTAATCATTGTGTAGGCAAGCGCTCATGAGATTTTCATGGACAGTGAGTTTGACAGCGTGCTGGAGTCTGAGAATGTTGCGAAAGACAAGCAGGGATGGTGATTGTCAGATGCCGCACTGGCGAACGACCCTACAGCTATCAACGACGTCCCACCTCGGTGTTTTGTGTTTTCTCGTTGGACTGCTGATATTTTACTTTGTTGGTACGATCATACGCCTTGCTCTGTCGCTGCCTGCTGCAATGAACAACGAGCCAACGGAAAGTTTAGATTGGAAAACGAAAAATGAACTTGACAGCTGGAAACGGGACGATCAGAAGTACCCCATACATCCAGCCTACAACTGGGACATCACGCTTCCAGAACCAATAAAATCATCTGACTGGATTAACCTCCTCAACAAACATTCCAGGTTACAACAGGAGATATGCAGTAGCCGGAGACCGTTGTCAGCTGTGGTCTTCTACTGTCAGCGACCTTGTCTTGGAATTGCAGATGGAATACGTGGCTTTCTTGTTGCCTATGCTCTTGCTGTGATCACTAACCGAGCGTTTCTCATCAATTCCCCGAATCACTTCCCTGTTCAATCATACTTGGATTTGGCTAAGAACGTCTCGCTTTTACCTGGCGAAATAGGCACGGTGAATTGGCATGTGGAGAGCTGTCTACCTGCTGCAAAGGGTGTATTCTTTGCAGAAAACATGGAACAGGATCTGCAAGTGGAATCGCCTATTCCAGGTGTTATTAGCAAAATTGTGAATGCCGGACAAACTGTTGATACTGACTGCCAAATTCTGCAGCAACTTGCTGTTAGCGAGCACCTGCCAGACATCCTCCTGCTGAACACCAACCATCATAGTGAATGTGCGCTATCGTTCATAAATGACTACAACAAGCGGCACAGCCTCGAGGAGATCAGCCCCTCACGGCACGAGCCAATATTCCGTACACTGTTCCGACGGTTGTTCAGCTTCAGTCAAGACACGTTACGCACCGTAGATAAAGACATCAAAACAAACCATGTTGATTTGAATACATGTGTATGTGTTCATGTGAACACCTGTATGCCCTCCACAGACACAGCTGGAAGTTTCACTGTCAGGCGTGACATTGGTGAGCTTGTCCAATGTGCATCTGCTGTGCAGGAGTTGTTGCGTCCAAATCTTGACTACAGCAAGCCAATACACTGGTTGGTAGTGAGCAACAATGCTTCTACCAGCCAAATGATATTTGAACTTTCAGAAGAAGCTGCGCCAAATGGCAAGCAGATAATCATCGACATAGACAGGTCCACAATGGGACCAGCTCGACATCTGATGGAAGCCTACAGCCCTGAAACAGAGACAGATAACCATCAAGAAGGCATCGCGAAGTGCGTCCTTTCCGATCTCTATCTGCTCAGCAGCTGCAAGTACCTGGTGACTGGAGCGGGGTCTGACTTTGCAGGCTTAGGTGCACTGCTTGGCGGGGATTGGTCGCACAAAAAGGTGTTCAGAGTGAGCACCGATTTGAGAGTAGACACGTCGCTGCCAAGCTATGCTAGGCATAAGTCATGTCGCCGTGTTCTACCCACGTATCCTCAATGATTTAGAGCAGTAGTAGCAGGCGCAATCATAACATGAACTCTTTCCATACACCTGTTGGCTGATGTTTGGAATATCTCTCATCTAGCGAAATTGTAACGATCCATGTCACACCTATCTTCAATCAAAATGTAATGACACAAGACGGGTTGAAAGTCTATATTTATTTAGAGAGTCTATAATTATCTGATTCTTGGCTTGAACCGTGCAAGTACAATCATGTACTCGTACATTTGCTGATCCGCTACCGCAGCCCAATATTGATGTATGTCCTGAATACTGAATGACACAGAAAATGCGGACTCAGTTACAGTTATTGAAGAATGTGTGCATGTTGCTTTGCACTTGAGTGATAATTATTCATTTTAATCATGCTTTGTGCATTTATCTTTGCTTTTTCTTCACTTTCCATCGCCGTGAAAATACTGGGCTTGAACTGTGTATACTTGTATGACTCCTGCTAGAAGTTATATAGATACATGTATGTACGAGGGTGGTCTGGAGTTTGGTGGCACGCTCTTTGACTCCATGTCTCTATGATCCCGAAATGTTTACGAATTTAGTGCCAGCCAGCTCCCCTGCCCCACTCCTAGCTTTGTAACGTTTGTTACATGATCACATAGTCATTAGTCACATTACTCATACTGAGTCATAGTGGCTCTCACATGCGGGTGCATGAACATCCCAAACCCTACCCAGACACCACTACATTGAAGTACTACTCAGTACATCCAATCTGGACCATAAATTCGTGAAAGGAGTTATCACGACAGTCATCGTGTAGATCATCTACATGTGCAAAAATGTTACTGTGGTTTGCGCCCTGGAACAGTACCATGCATGGCACGTACACGGTACAGTGCTGCTCAATGAAATCCAGTCATGTCACTCAAGTACGCGCCGCGCGTTGCGCAGCCCTAGACCTGCGAACACTGGGCTGCGAAATAGTGCAAGGCGCAAACTTGAGTGACCAGGTGACACGACTGGATTTCATTGAGCAGGCCGTAGATCATTGTCACATTGACATAGTCATGCATTGTGTAGATCGATTCGACACATTCCCTTTTCGCACGTCCAGGCACACCGCGTACCGCCAGTGCCAGTGCCAGTGGTGCATATTATCACCTAATCATGGCACAGTCTCTTCGCGGCTTTTGTCACCTCAGCTGCAGAACTGATGAACGTCACACTGGCTAACACTGGCTAACATCACTGCAATGACTATGTTGTCCAAGTAACAGTTAGTTAGTTTGTAACGTTGTGGGTTATTCTTTCTTCAAGAAGGTAGAGAAAACAGTTTGCTCCCACTGGAAAGCAAGCCTTTCGAAGTCGCCTTCTCAACAGCTGGATAAGAGCACTAACTAAAGGACATTCAAATTTTGACGTCGGACAGCTGTGGACCGCAACAAATGTAAGAGTCAGATAAGAGTGCTTGGTTTTACTTCTTTGAATCAAGTAGTTTGTGATTGTCTTTTGCCCGCGTTCGGAGTTTCTAGAATAATTAGAGGCAAGGACAAGACGGTGGTCACTGGTTATACCGTCAGGCTTTAGGCCCTGGCTTTCCAGCACCTGGACTCGCCGAGCAAACACCGCCCGTCTCAGTGCCAGCCTTCTCACCAAGACTACAGGCTCTGTATGTTCCAGGTAAGTGGAAGTGTTCCCGAGCCTAGAGTCACTAGACATGAAATAATCACAGATAACAGTGTTGAGCGGTTTCTTTCTCTTTGCATTTTGTGCTTCCATCCACCAGCCCACTCCATTGAAAATGAGACACTCCTTGGCCTATTTCTATTTCTATCGGCAGCTGTGGTCCGGAGCGAATAGGAAAAATAAAGTAATTAGATTATGAGTGTCAGTGTGACAATGTTGCTATCTACTTGACGGAAGGACGACTATTTTCAATGTCTTTTTGCTCTACTTCCAGGACCTTCACTGAAGATATTAGCTGTCAAAACAGACTGGATGTGACATGCGAGCATAGCCGGAAACCCGACAAGAGGTCATTGATAGAATTTGTTGAGTCCGAACAAGCTCCTTGAAGCATCGTCGAAAGGCAGCCTTCCGGACGTTTCCCCTTCATGTGTAAGACTAAGAGCTGGTCTTCCTTTGAACTAATCAGCCCTCGTTCTTTTCCCATATTTCCCAAATGACGGGACCGTTGTCCCTGTTCCGCTTGCAATTCTTTATGCTGTTGTAAATTATACATGTACTCACAGGTCTACGAGTTCAGCTGCTGCGGCCCATATCTACTCGGTCATCTCAATAGCTACGAATATGGAAAAGACAACCCACGGGGGGGGGGGGGTACAGTGGCCAAGAGTGCAGAAGAATGTGAAAGAGGAACGCATGCAATTTGCTATACACAGTTCTGCGTTGGATACTCTGGAGGGTAAGCAGCAGCAGCTTTCGGCGTGCTCATTATTTAGTTAAAACTCTGCCATGTGCACTCTCTGGTAGACCTGACTCAACACACCAGCAACAGGACTCGTTACGTCATTGCCTAGATAATTTAAAATAACTGTTTTAGGCATACATTCCCCTGAACAGCTGTTTCTACCATACAGATCTCAAAAGTGAAGGTTGTAAGAATGCTAAATGGCTAGAAATTATGTTACCGTACTCGCGCGATTAGTGCCCCTGGGGCACTATTTTTTCCAATGTCCATCACAGATGGGGCAGTATTCAAGAGAGGGCACTATTTATTCATTGCTGGTACGTTTGCGTCATCCAGCATAAAAGAAAAAGAAAAACAGAGCCTAAAGTATACTGTAAACGCTCACGACTCCACAGAAACGGGAACAAGACCTGCGATTTTGTTACTGAAAACACCAGTGCAAAGCAATGGCCAAGAACATTAGCAAAAGAACACCAAACTTGCACATGGGCTTGGTTACAAGACCCGGGGGGGGGGGGGCACTATTCAAGAGAGGGCTTTATTTTTCACTGGCTCTTGGTGACTAGGGCACTATTCAAGAGTGGGCTCTAATCGCGCAAGTACGGTATTTGCTATATATGCCATTTCATGGCATATGATATATAGTACATTATGGATCCTCCTTAGGAGTGCAGGAATCTTTTGACCCTACAGTGTCACATGTACCTACATGTCTTAGCCAATGTATATCTGCACCGCACTTACCGATAGCACTTACTCTCCGTGTGTTTGCACTCCTGTTACCTCAACGTGTGGGGTCGCGCTCATTTCACAGTTTTTTTCTCTCTGTATAATAAGGCGGTTTTCACTCGTTCAAACCTTCCAACATTCGTACCACCTTCATCGATGAGATCTGTATGGTCGAAACAGCTGTATGAAGGAATTACTGCCAATGTCGACAATGACTTGGGGTCGTGTTGCTGGTGTGGTGAATGAGGTCGGGCAGAAAGGACATGTGGTGTGTTTGAACTAAATCAGTTTTTGCATTGCTTCAAACCGAGTCTGGGCGCATCAGTGTGCGGAGAATATGGTATCAAGCTACCATTATTCAAAGTCATGATGCATTGATCTGTTTTTCAGACTTCATAATAGTATACTTGTAGATCCCTACATACCAGAAATGTATGCCTTTATTTGTTCTCCAAATGATGGGTTCCTCCCTTTTTTGTGTTTTCAGTGACTAACTTCTGCGCTTGAAAGATCATGTCTCCTCTCCTGATGGACGTAGCAGCAGCAGCAGCGGTAGCAGCAAAGAAATTATTGCACTTCATGCATCAGGATTCAAACTGGGGAAGCCATCACTGGACATGAAAACATACCTATCCTGTATCTACTTGAACAGACGTGAGTTTACAAGCGTATAGCTGTACCTCTGCTACTGCGGTAATGTCTTTATATGCCGGCTTCCAGGAGGGTTGGATACTGCAATACCCTCCTGCTATCGTGCCTTACATTGCGGATACCTCTCCTCCAGGCTATGTAGTTGAGCAACAGTTCTGCACAGTTTGCCGTCAAGGCCTATACTAACAATCTGCACGTCCAAGCCAATGTATCACTGTCCAAGTTCAAATAACTGGCAAAGCAAATATAGGATACGTCACGTGTTCTAGTGGACCAGGGACTTACCATACACACTTAATGAACAGAAGAGACTGCCTTTGATAGGCATCCATTTGCCTTTGGTGAAATAAAATGCCACCTACACTAAGCCCAGAAGCTAACTAAGCTTCCAGTTTGAAATGAGCATTTGAAAGTAGCAATCCTTATAGTCTGAGATCCGGCACAAGATTTATGGGTGATATTAGTAGTAGGACAAGAGCAGAGTAGCTAGCAGTAAATGAATGAATGTCCTTCTAGCCCTCAGAGATTGGCTCCGGGCCTGTATCAAATGTGTGCGATGTGCAAGGAAGCAAAACACCCCCAACAAATAACTGGTTAAAGGAATAGCTTACACCAATGGCAATGCATGGGATTGTGTAGGGGTATGTAAAGAGTAATGCTAAGTATGAGTGAGTGGGACTGGCCAGATAATGTATTACACAGCAAGATACAACACTTCAACAGCACATCCTAGAATACCTTCTGGTATGCTTTTCTGCTTTGTATCATCATCCCCATACCCCTCTGCGAACAGTGTTTCAAGTCAAAACATGTGCCCCCCCCCCTCCCAAGGCAGGGTTTCGATCTAAAACGTTATTTTGTGATTTCAGTGTATTTTTAAACTACTCACAATAACGTTTAAAATAGGGCTGAATTGATCATCCATTTAGCCCAATCGATTACTCTTTATCATAATGATCGATTATTCGATTATAATCTTTAACTTAAGAGGCCGCACCTGGAATATGTACGTGGAATGGCCAAAGTGGAAATATGTACAACATTTAACACAAAAAAAGTGTTATGTATGTAGACCGGACGCGACCTTGACCTTCGAGCGTCATGCTCCGGCTTCGTTGTACTACACTAGTCACTAGGATCGTTTTTCAATTTTGACAGCATGTTACAAGGCGAGTCGCGCGTGCAGTGTGTAGCACTGTGTACTACCGGTTATACCGGGGGTATATACTCTGAGCTGCATGCACTGCGCGTATGCACTGCGCGTATGCACTGCGCGTATAAGAAATTTAAAATTTATAAAATGCAAAATAATCGTAATCGGTAATCTAAACGATTGCTCGATCGTTTAGAGTTATCAAACGTGTACTCGATTATTCGGTATAATCGTTTCAGCCCTAGTTTAAAAACAATAAGCAGTGTGTTTGAAAGGTGGCATGTTCATGTGCGGTAAATGCTCAAGTAAGACTTAAATTGCTCTACTATGGTGCTCTTTTGTGGAAATTCTCTTTGCTTTCTGTGGACATGCAGCTCATATCCTGCAACTTCGTTAAGAGTGCTTCAATGATGAAGGTGTAACCCATTGAATCCTGCCAAGTTGTCCCTGGGCAGAGCGGCTGGCAACTTGGGTTGACATGATGGACAGTAGGTCTACACTTGACGGGAGCAAAGCATTGCACACTCTGCATACTGTTCCAGCATCCAGGATATACTCTCATACTGGAGGTAAGACGCGTAAGTCCAAATCGACAATGCTCCCAAACCCATCCCCTAGCTTCGAGGGGTGGGGAGGAAAACTGCCGCCACATTATGCCTTGTACAATGCTCATTTGTAAACTTGACTCGACGAATAACACCCTTATCTCACCAGCAATGCATTTCCAAACCTTGTGTGTGTTCTCTGAGAGCTAGGAGTATTCATATACATTGCACTGCAGCACTAGGTCAGACATGTGTCTCAATTCGATCGAAACAGTGCTAGAAATCTCTCCACAAGCTTTCCAATGCGTTGTCGTTCAAAAAGACGAGAATTTTCACAGAGTTGTAGAATGGTATATCCATGTCTGCATTCATTGCATGGAACTTGTTACATTGGCGGTTTCAAGGTCTACCTCCGTTAGTAGATACCGGTAACCCCGGGGGGTTCAAATTGCTTGTCTGTCGAGTAGTATCCACTATCCGGACGCGAATGGGTACGCGTTTCAGGCGTCACAGGACTTTTTGATAAAATAAAAATCAATTAAAAAAATAATGCAATGAATATAACTAAATGCGCACTCATATCACAACCATGGGGACGAATAATGTATTCCAGAACGTTTTCTTGTCACAATTATCAATGGAATTCGTGACTAAAGAGAATGATGAAACTACAATAGGATTTATACACTTGGAGTGAAACAGCGAGGATACAAGCATAGTAAGAAAAATAGCACAAACCTAGGAACAATTTGCACAGGTAATAAACTGTAGGTGAGGTGAGAAATGATAGGAAATTCAGCAAGTGCAGTGAGACAATGGACATGCATGTGCAAGTGTGTGTGAGTGCGAATTTACTGGAATAGCGTAAGTGCGGTGACATTTTCTTTTTGTTTACAAAGATTTGGATCACGAATGCGAATGTAGACTGCTTCTAGAACTTGCAACTGCTTGAATCTACTTGCAGAACGAACAACACTGAACCAAGAATCATCATAACTTTCACGACACACGGGGTTAGACAACAAATGCAATTTAATTGCCGATGTATTCTTCTTTTTCTCACCGCCTCCGCCTTCACTTGGTTTCTGACCGCCACCGTCCTTCACACTATCTGCACCATCATCGTCATCATCGTCATCGCCCTCCTCATCATCGCTGCCACCTTCACCTGTCGTCGGCTCTCCCAGCAACTGACCACCGGGTTCCTCATCGTCATTGCACACGTCGCTTCAACACTCCTCCTCCAGCTGCCGTCGCGTTCTCTTCCTGACCGGTCTTCCCTTGCCATTGCCAAACACCTGACAGTCATCAACTCTTCCGCTGGCATCATCCATATCCGGAGAGTTTCGATGCATCTTTCCAGTCACCTCTGCAAACCGAGCTGCCGCCAGCCGTTTGCTCCTTCTCAGCTTTGGTGAGTTGCGGTTGTATGCGTCCGGCGTACCGGTACTCGCTGATAATGAAGATAAGACACAGTGTTCGTCTTCGTTTATATTAATGTTTGTTCCCAATTTCTGCGTGCTTTGTTGGTTTTTCCGAGACACCGTTTGTGGAGCAGAAGCCTCTGCCGGAACGGACAGTGGAGTCGGGTGCTTACGTGGTCGGCCACGCTTTGGTCGGCCACGCTTTGGTCGGGAGGACCTAGCCGCCTGTGACAATAGTGAGAGCGGCACGTCTTGTTTGATACGTTCGGACAGATGTTGAAGGGGTGAGAAGAATCACACACACTTGCACATGCATGTCCATTGTCACACTGCACTTGCTGAATTTCCTATCATTTCTACTTCAAGTAACCTCACCTATAGTTTATTACCTGTGCAAATTGTTCCTAGGTTTGTGCTATTTTTCTTACTATGCTTGTATCCTCGCTGTTTCACTCCAAGTGTATAAATCCTATTGTAGTTTCATCATTCTCTTTAGTCACGAATTCCATTGATAATTGTGACAAGAAAACGTTCTGGAATACATTATTCGTCCCCATGGTTGTGATATGAGTGCGCATTTAGTTATATTCATTGCATTATTAAGATGATTGTCTCCACGTCGCCTTTTTACATAATTAAAAAAAGTTCACGGTTCGCATCAGATTCGGCTAGAGGCCGAGTTTTCCGCATCCGTAGGAACTCCACCACCCTTCAAGGATATTAATTTGATAGTTGTCTACTAATGCAACCGATGACGTACTATCGAGGGTAGACCTGTACGTATGCACGAAGCAGCTGAAGAGGTTATAATGAACTCCATGCTACAGCTGGCTGACATTTTCCGCCGATTAAGGCCACAGCGCCCGGCGTGGCATTCACTTGCTTGACTGGATTTCATGGAGCGCCGGTGTGCGCAGGGCAGTTGGGGCACAACCTAGTTCTTCCCTATCCCACTGCTCAAACTAATTGCTTGAGCATGACTATCTGTTTTTGTCTGTCTGTCTTTCTGTCAGTGTGTGTATGTACGGCTTGCTGCAGGGTTGCACAATGGCCCCTATTTATTTGATCTTTACATGCGTGCAGTGTTTGAGAAATGGCGCAGCACGACTGCTGGTGATGACGAGCTGCGGATCCATTTACCCAGCTCTGCAGGGATTAACACCAGGTTGGCAGAGTATCGCAGAATGTTTCGGATGCTGACCACGCCTGTTTTGATGAAGTATTCAGTATCACCATCAAACACATTGCGTATGGAGTGACTTTCCTAGCCGCCTTTCTTTATGGATTAGAGAGTTGGACCGTAATGCTGCGTGATGTTCGGTGATGTTCGGCGCCGGGAGTCATTCTATAATCTGTGTGTGCATTCCAATCTGGAGGTGAAACATGGCCGGAGGATAGACGAGCACCCTCTGGAGGTTTGTGAGGTACAGGGCGATCTAGGAGGAGACAACAGACAAGATCAGAGTGTGCTGGCATCAGTGGCTTGGCCGCGTATTCTGAATGCCAGATTGTTTCCCATGTCAGCTGCTGTATCGTTAGTTGCTGTCCAAGCATCCACTGCATGAACCCTGTAAACACTGGAAGGACACAGTGAAGTTCGACATGTTGGCTGTTGGTGTCACTCTGGATAGCTCAATACCATTGTCAAGGTTCGGCAGGAGTGGCGAGGTGCCTGCCACGACGCTATCTATCTTGCAGTCCTGTATTGAGCCCGTGGTGAAGCCCCTCACCTGTGATACCAGGGTGTGCAGTTTTCGGCATCCACATGACCTTGCAAGGCATACGTGTAACGCTGTTGGTGCGTGGCGAGTCTGACATTCCCCACCTGGTGGACAACAAGCCTCCGTGTCTGCCCCTTATGGGGCCACATGGCCAGTGATGGCAGTGGTAGAATGAGGAAGGACATGTGTGCATGTGCATCGGCCTGTGTGTGTACCTGTGTGTGTACCTGTGTGTGTACCGGTGTGTGTACCTGTGTGTGTACCTGTGTGTGTACCGGTGTGTGTACCTGTGTGTGTACCTGTGTGTGTACCTGTGTGTGTGTGTGTCTGGGGGTGGGCGGGTGTGGGTGCGTGGGTGTGGGTGTGTGTGGGTGTGTGTGCATGTGCATATGTCCTATTCCTGTGCCTGTGTGTGCATGCCCACATTCAAGTGTGGTAATGTGATACTGTTAGTCTACAAATATTCGGCACATATTTATTTTCGGCTATTTTCGGCCTGGTCATGTTTGGGCTGAAAATGTGTTGCGGGCAAAATTTTGTTTTGCAAGGTTCCGTATGACAGTGTATACATATGCGGAAGCAGTACAGGCGGAAAATTTGATGCGGCCGAAATGGGTTTTAGCTCTGGAAGGCCGAAATTTAAATGGGATGAAAATTTGTTGTTGACTTGCAGTATGTGTGTTTGTGTACATGTAAGCAAGGTATGCAAGTTATTTCAGATACTAGTGCCTGACATCAACCAAGCCAGCACTATGTATCATGGGGTAAGGATGGACTGTGGTGTAGTATTGCTTTTCATGGATGAAACTTTCCAATGCGTGTGTTTGTGCGCGCGTGTGTGTGCACGTGTGTGTGCACGTGTGTGTGTGTGTGCACGCAAGTGTGCGTGTGTGTGTGTGTGTGTGTGTGTGTGTGTGTGTGTGGCATGTGTATGCAAGAGGGTGCGTGTGTTGTGTATAAAATTCTATTTAATTTTAGCATATGCTCTTTGTTGCAGTCCATTCGCAATCCTGTATTCTACATTCTCAACTGTACTAGGCATTCTCAATCTGCGGCTCCTCACCAGCACCTGCTTACTTTTTTTTTTTTTTTTTTTTTTTTTACTAGTATGTTTCTTCCAGCATGGAACTGTAGTGATAGGAAAAAGGTTAACACCTGTCCTAACGAATTGCAGGGGTTTCACTTGGATTTTCTAATTCCTTTCCAAGTGGGCAAAATCTACTATAAACCCAGAAACAAACGTCCCAGTTCAAGATTTGGAAACTATATGCACCTGGAAATGTTTGTGATGGGAAAAAAATGTTTTAACTACATGTACGTTTCTCAGTGACACCATCACTGCTGCGTCTCGATGCAGCGCCTGCTCATTAGTTGTCACGTTTGTCCTAGTCTCTGTACCATTGTCTTTCCTTATTCTTTTCGAGCTGGTTATCGAGCCGGATTACCATCACTAAAATCTACGTTGCCAGATCGTAAAGGTTTCCCGCAGTACTTGTATATTATATCCCAACAAATCTTTTAAGGTGAGTTTTGAATTGCAGTTAGTCGTTGCACATGTTGTAGGCAAATTTACTTTTAACTTCAGGCCACTACACCATTGTTGAAACTTTGTTCACAATACTGCAGTTCTCCCCACCAGAGCCACCGAACTTCTTTGGAACTGTAGGCGATAGACACAGCTGGATGTGAATGACTTTATCGGCTGATACTGGTTCCCAGATATGAATACCAGTCGTGCAATCCACTGTTCCAGGACAGTCTAATAAAGGCAATTAATCTGAGTGGGGATGGTGGTCGTGGTTTGGATTTGGGACGGATAAGTAAAACAAAAAATCTTCTATAAAAACTTAGTTTGGCTGGATTCTACACTGACAGGATTCTGAGACCAGCTTCGCAGACAGTCCTGTCTTACAGTCTACCAATACGCAATGCCAAGATTATAGGTATTTACTGCTCACACGTTTGAGTACACAGGTTGCAGAGGGAAGCTTCACTGGGACAGTACTTCATGCATTCCAGTCAAACAGCTAAAAGATGGGCGTAGCATACATGAAAAACAAATTATGGGGGTGGGTGAAACTGAACCTAAAGCTAAACTGAACCTAAAGCTATCTGGGCAAACTGGACCAAGAATAGCTGCACTTGTGTAAGCTTCCAGTCAGCCAATAGGTAATTTGTGGCAGGCAAATTATAGAAGGGTGGGGTTATAGTCTCCATATTACCAACATAATAAAACGTTGTTGTTTCATGAGATCAGATCTTGTGAATATGCCTAGTGTTCACAGGAGATCTCGGGGAGCTTACAACCTCAGATATTTGATTCACACCGCTACAGGCAATATGCCCGTCAGATAATTCACATAGACTAAGAAAAATAACATTGGGATGGAAATGGCTTTAAATTTCTTCTCCGGTAGAATTTTCCGGATTGTTTCTCCATCCTAAAATGCAGAAACAACAAGAGTTCAGTCAACAGGAGGCCAAGAAGAAAACACTTGCTGAACTCTGATTTTGTACTACGCAACGTAATGGAGAAAAATGCGGATAATTTAGATTTTCTTCTCCAGTAGAATTTTCCGGCTTGTTTCTCCTTCCCTGTTTGTTTCTCCGTCCTCATGAAGAAACAATAAGAGCAGAAACATCAGCAGAACTCTTCTTGTTTCTGCATGAGGAAGGAGAAACACTTGCTGAACTCTCATCACATTTCAGGTGTGAAGTCCACAACCAGGATAGGCTATATAAGTAATCATTCCAGGAGGGGATGGTGGTCGGGGTTTGGGATGGCCAGAAATTTTTCATTTTCTTGTCCAGTAGAATCTGTCAGCTTGTTTCTCCTTCATCATGCAGAAATTTATCATTTTCTACTCCAGTCTGTCAGCTTGTTTCTCCTTCCTCATGCAGAAAATTTTCATTTTCTTCTCCAGTAGAATCTGTCAGCTTGTTTCTCTTTACTCGTGCAGAAATTTTTCATTTTCTTCTCCAGTAGAATCTATCAGCTTGTTTCTCCTTCCTCATGCAGAAACAACAAGAGTTCAGCCATCAGCAAGCCAAGAAGAACAGATTTGCTGAACGCTGATTTTGTACCACGCCGTGCACTGATCTTGTAATCAAGAAAAAAGACATGGAAGTTGCATAGTGTATTTGCTTACCATCAATCGCCTTTGCACTGTTGCTCTCACCTCCTACCGCCATCGGAGCTGCAGCTCTATCCCTGAGTGCGGTGGGCACAAGTGTTCTGTGGATGAACTCCGTGGCCACAATGTGCATGAAAATAGTCCAGACCTATGCCATCAACTGAAAGTAAACCACCAGCTTAAACACAATCAACAGCACCACCAGAACTTGCACGGTATCAATTTAGCATGTCAGTTACTTGTGGGCACACGGGATATTTCACTGGGATGAAGATACAATATTAGCCTGTAAACCTGTACCGTGTTACCATTCATTGCTACTTCAGGAGATCAGCAGTTGGACCATTGATGAGATGTAACTGAATACACACCATTGCATCAGGGGCGAACAACCTCCTCAAGCCTTATGATTGCACGCCTACATTTTAAGCTTGCTGCATAGCCCCTCATTCAATGCATTAAGTGTGATGTCAAGCAAGGAAGCTACAGCACACTTTCAATCAATTAATAGTTTATCGGTGGTGATGGGCGTGGATCGGTACACTCATCGCATCAAAACGCATGCATGTACACACAAGCACACACACGCACAAACGCACACACACACACCCTACCCCACACGGAAACTTTTTTTTCTTACACACACTCTTCCTTGCTCATCGCCATTAATTGGTCACGACACAGGGGAGAGAGATTCAACAGACACCTTGGAAAGATGACTGAATTGACTATGGAACTGCCCAATGGCTGACACGCCCTGCAGTCCCAAGACTTTGGGTAGACTTGAAAATTGTCCTACTGTCGTGTACATTGAAATCCGTTTAGACGTCACTCAAGCGGCCACTGGGAGCTGACCTTGCAGCTCTGGGCACTGCTGGTCCATTTTTTCAGTTTTGTACGTGAAATACAGTGCATGTATGAGCTAAGGCAGTCAGGGCGCCCGCCCCGGTCATTTCACCGGATTTCAATGTCCACAACAGTACTTATGGGCTCACCACAGTGCAGTCAGTGAGCAAGGAAAAAGGTGCAGACAAAGGATCGGCAGCATCAATGGTATCCGTCCGGGAGTCCAAATGCATAACTCTGCCCCAGCCATCCTGCAAAACAAAGATGAACATGCCAAGCCAAGCATGTACACCATCAGCAAGCCATACAAGTACCCGAACAAAATGAGAAGAAAGGGGGGGGGACTCCCTCGTGAGCACAGGAATGCAGTGATTAAGGCAGGCTGGCAAACGTAATCAGATGCCTTGACAAAGAAAGACGGAACTGAAGTTGTTCAGTGTTCAGTGAGTACTAGTGTATAGAATACTGGTATGAACATGGCGACGAGTTTCACCGTGACAGTGTAACAAGCACCACGTTATTGGTGTCACTAGCACTGGATTGCACACTAGCACTGGATTACACACTAGCACTGGATTGCACACTGGCACTGGATTGCACACTGGCACTGGATTACACACTAGCACTGGATTGCACACTGGCACTGGATTGCACACTAGCACTGGATTGCACGCTAGCACTGGATTACACACTAGCACTGGATTGCACACTGGCACTGGATTGCACACTAGCACTGGATTACACACTATAGTCCATTTCAAAAAGATTAGCAATCAGGTTTTGGTCTTAAAAAGTATGAAGATAAGGGAAAATTGGACAACAAAGTACATAGAATGGCTTGTTAGGACATGGCAAATTGTTCTGTGGAGGTTTCGGAACAATTGGACCAGCCGTTAAGGAGTTAGAATTTCGGCCAGGTTTCCGGCCTTTTCCCGTGGTTTACGATTTGCCCTGGATGTCAGTATCGATTTTTTATCAAAACCCACGATTTATCCTTTCCTTTTTGGCCTTGTGGTTATGAATGCTGTCTGCTGACCATAAAGTTGTGAGTTCAAATCCCAAACTATCTTCAAGTTAAACTTTTTTTGCATTGTTTTGGTGATCACGCTGGTACAAAAAGTACAAGCCAAAGAAGAAGGTGGCTGCGCCAAACGACTTGTTGTTGGAGCTCGCGTTTCCTGCCGAACTAATACTTACTGTCGGACACTTGACTGGTTCACGCCATGTGAACACACCCACAACACTGAAACGGTGTGAGTGAACACGGAAGTCATTGCGCTGTAGCTACGTGTTGTTGAATACAACGTCACATCGGTCGATCGATTTCTCTTTGAGAATTATTTTAGTATTTCAAGATCGCCAATTTATTTGAATTTAGGAGTCAACGCCGTCTTCTATCAGCTTTCACAGGCGTCTGCTTTTCTCAAAATGTCGTCGAAGTCACACGGATAGCTTTGCCAAGTCATGGCGTTGGGAATGAGTCTGTGTCGATGTCGTTTTCGTCACATCGTGAGAGTAAATTGCATCGCAGCTCAAAGAAATTGGGCACGAAACGAATTGGGACCCATCCCGCTCGTCAACATTTACCACACTTTCGACATGTCCTCTCTGACTCCATATCGATACGAGGAAGAACTCGTTTGTTGTAAACCAGACGTACATGTACTGACGTGATTGAGTTGTCATTTTTCCTGCTTTCGCGCGGAATATTTCTTCGAGTTCACAGTGAGTTTTTCCAGCCAGCTCTCGACCGCGCATACGGTAAGACGGCAAACTCCGCGGGCGATCGCCAGGATTGCTAATCTTTTTGAAACTGACTGTAGCACTGGATTGCACACTAGCACTGGATTGCACACTGGCACTGGATTGCACACTAGCACTGGATTGCACACTAGCACTGGATTGCACACTAGCAGTGATGTAGCTTGCACTGTACATGTATAATATGTGTACATGAGATATCTGTGTCCATAACAAAGCAGCTGCTGTTAGGACACACCCATCTTCACGTGCTGCAGTGTTGGCAACAACTCCAAAAGAGAGCCACGATGTTCACACGACAGTGCAGCAGGGAAGGCATAGTAAAATATTACTAATATAAGACGCAAGATGGCACGTACAATGCATACTGTGGCGGGTACGACGCAAGGCACCAAGGTACAGACTAGTGCCAGCAAGCACATTGTGCAAACAATGCGAAGGGTGATAAGTGGACAAAAGCTTTTTGCCTAACGGGAGAACAGTTGGAGAATTTGCTTGAATTTGTGTGAAATTTCTACAGAATTTCCCTGTAATACACAGTATGTAGTATGTATAATACATTGGTGGCAGTGATGTGAAAATTCCCAAGTGCTATGTTCATTTATTTGTGCTTTTTTGGATTTATTGATGCAAAGGTTGGATTACACTCCACTAGCATAGGCTGACAAGTTCATGACAATCATGTCTGACATGTGGCAACCAGGCAACTAACTCCACTGTGTGTCCAAACAATGCCCAACTGCTGTGGCTGTACACTTACCATATTTTACCGTGTGTTGTAAGTCGACCCCCCAGTCCAGTGTCCAGAGGTCTCAATTCTGCTTTTTAAAGTTATCACCCAACGAAGCCCTACTAACTACTCCCTGCTACTAACACATCAACATGTAAACATTCCTAATTGGAGGGTATAATGTCCCAATCCTTGGAAAAGGCCAATAAACTGGCCAAAATGTGTACACATGGTGCACTCGTGCATGCAGTGAAGGTCTTTTTTTTAAAGATGCTGATAGTTCCCGGTTATAAATCGAATCCCGGTTGTAAGTCGACCCCCACCCTTTCTCCTTCTATTTTTAGTCGTAAAAGGTATACTTACAACCGGAGAAATACGGTACATGTACATGTAGCTGCGAACGACTTCAAACGTATCCCAGGCTATTCCCTGCATGGTTCCCTCTGTTTACACTGGGTGTTACCATCAGAAAGTGGATGAATAAAACAAATGATTTATTATCAAGTTCGAACCCCCCCCCCCCCTTCAGGCCTTTTCAGAATCGGCTCAAAGCATCACAAAGTAAGAGATGTCTGACTGTGAGAAACACGGTGAGCTTTGCATCAACTGGTTATAGGCAGCTTTGCGCTAACCGGAAAAAAGGTGCTCAGCCAACGTGAGCAAGGGTAATGCTCAATCTCTGGACAAATAGCCGTTTTGGCTTCCTAAGGTCTCATCAGCAGAACGACCATCCAAAACCGATTGCAATGAAGTGTACTTCAAGTATCTAACAACAAAGTACTTTTAAACCGGGCTATAGCATCGGTAAGTGACATTGTCAGGGTACCCTAAGTATGATAAATCCAGCAGCTCCAGTAGTAGTGTGCGACAGTATTTCCCATTAGGGCGCAGACCCCCGCACCCTACTTACTCATTTCTCGATTTTCTGTTTTTTTCCCTTTCAACTAGAACTTTATCTAACTCTGCAAGCCAAACAATTTTCTAAAGAGTTATTTACGACTCCACTGTAGTCCATACTCTTGCTCACAAATTCATACAGCACCACCCAGAATAACTACATTGTACATGTATTGTGCACATGCAATAAAAACGGTGATGGTGCACGATTTTCTGAGCAAGTTAAAACAATGTTCAATATTCAGTCATAACCCATCAAGCACCTTACCTGTCATATTCGAGGAACAAGGAGGCGATTCGCTGCAGAGTGTAATCGTAAGTCTACAAAAGCCATCGAATCTGGAATCACAGTCTCAGGTTGCACCGTTCCTCTGCACTCTGAGTGCATGTACTCGTACTCCTGCACTAAGCAACTAATAATAATTATTACTTCGCAGCAATGCAAACAAAACATTTCCGCCTGCCACTACTGATGTCTGAAAGTAGCATTCGTCCAAGAATTCACCTAGCCCTCCTGAATTCATGACTTCACTACTAAAATAATTCGACAGAAGGAAATAGACTTCTGCCAGGATGAGACACTCTTCCGAATGAGCTACGGTAGCTACTGTTACAAACAGACTTGGGCCAGTTGGGGGGAGATGTTGTAACAACTCACCTGCACAAGGCTGCAGTGCAGAATAACCATGATAACTACACCCGGCCCCGGATGGCGCTCAAGCTTCGCACCGGGCCGTCGTCACCACTGCTCCGTGGTTTCCCATACACGTCATGTATGTACTACACTAGTCTACAGTGAAACCTCGTTAGGAAGAACACTGATAAAACAAATGTTTGCCTAAGGGGTCGTCGCAAAAGTTTTCTGTCGTCCCTGAAACGAACATCGTTCATTTCGTACTTGGACCCCCTCCCCTAGCCCTCCCTCTGAAACGAACACAGCTTGCTATGCTGGACGACGAAAATCGCATGCATGTACATGTCATAATTATGTACAGTGTCGGTCGACTTGCGATTTTGGCTCGCACCCCCTCCCCCCAAATGAATCATGTTCGTTTCAGGGGCGAAGGACTAAAGGGACCGTCACTTAAAGGGGAAGTTAAGGCAAAAATTAAAATTTCACCAGTTGTAGTCTTCGGGGTGCTGAGTCGAATGGTCGTGGTCCGAGGAAGCTGAGACTTTCCCTTCCTACTTGAATCCCAATCGAACTCGCGTACTTCCACCGAAACTGGGTGACTGCGCCCTACTAGATGGGGATTTGTATGCAAAATGTCACTAAAAGCGCCGTTTCGTTCTTATAAAAGCACGGATGACCGCGATTGGCCCATATGTTGTAGTCTTTTGGACGCTGAGTCGACTGGTTTTGGTCCGAAAAGGCTGCGATGCAGCGTTCCTCCTTTATTCCCAATCGAACATGGTTGAACAAGCGGTCACGTGCTCCTGCGTACGCCAGTCACCTGGTCACCGTGCCTGCAGGGTACAACTTACTAGCCTGTTTGACCTTTTTTGGGTGCAGTCCTGTCACTCGAGTTGAACTCGAGTTGAACCTTGGTGTGAAAGTTGTCGCCTGCTGGCGTGGTGACCAGGTGATTTGGGCACCCAGGAGCACGTGACCGCTTCTTCAAGCATGTTCGATTGGGAATAAAGGAGGAACGCTGCATCGCAGCCTTTTCGGACCAAAACCAGTCGACTCGGCGTCCAAAAGACTACAACATATGGGCCAATCGCGGTCATCCGTGCTTTTATAAGAACGAAACGGCGCTTTTAGTGACATTTTGCATACAAATCCCCATCTAGTAGGGCGCAGTCACCCAGTTTCGGTGGAAGTGCGCGAGTTCGATTGGGATTCAAGTAAGAAGGGAGCGTCTCAGCTTCCTCGGACCACGACCATTCGACTCAGCACCCCGAAGACTACAACTGGTGAAATTTTAATTTTTGCCTTAACTTCCCCTTTAATTTTTGCCGACTACCCGCCAAAAAAATCCTTTTCGTTTCACGTGTCAGACACGTCCGCGAGCGCGCGCGTACGACTCGACTCGACTCGCTACCTTTCACGTCAAGCAATCTGTTCACGCCACATGGCTGGATAGCGTGTACATGCAAACATGATTGTCAGATTGAAGACTTGCAAAATTAATTTTACAAGTCCAGGCGCTAGGCCTAGGCGCACAGAATGCGTAATGCTAATGGCAGCTGACTTTATTTTCGGAGAAACACTACTCATTGTAGTAAAAAGTAACAATGAATAGCGATATCATCTAGGAAGGATCGCTACCCTAACGCGAAGGAAAGGCCTTGCGCGGCTGCTCTACGAAGTGTTGAAGAATGACTCAAAGTTAGTTGGTGGACGAACAACTCGCAGTGGTGCCGGAAAACTTGGCCCCCAACGATGGTGTTTGGTGAATCATCAAGCATAATGTCTTGTAGCAGTGTTCACCGAGGAAGGAGAACGCTCTAGCCGCTGCTGTTGTCCGTTTCATCCACGTTGGGCGTTAGCTGCACCGCGCCTATTGTGTTTTAGTATTCCATGGACACACATTAGCATTCAGAGCGATTGTGGAGCCACAATTTACTTCACACAGCGTTGTATTGTCCACGAGCGCAAACTTCATTATCAGCAGTAACTGTTACTCTTCATCCTACGTGTAGATTTGGAGTATACACGGCCTTGTCACGACAGCGACAGCTCTACAGAGTGTTCAAGTGCGAAACATTAATTTCAATTGTCGGTGGACGAATAAATGGCTGGTTCCGAAAAACGCGGCCTGCACCGATGGTGTTTGGTGGATCATCAAACGGGGTGACCAGCAGTGTTCACCGAGGAAGGAGAATGCACTCACCACCACTGTCGTCTGATTCATCCAAGTGGGCGTTAGCTGCGCTGCGCCTATTGTGTTTTAGTATTCCATGGACGCACACTAGCGTTCTCAGCGGTTGTGGAGCCACAACATATCTTCATGCGGCGTTGCACTGTCCAAGAGCAGAAACGTCAGCAGTGGCCCATCATCATACATGTAGATTTGGAGTATACACACCATGCGCCAATGGGCCTTGGCACAACAGCGGCAGCTCTACGGAGTGTTCAAGTGAGAAACATTTGTTTCGACTTGGTGGACGAACAAATCGTCGGTGCCGAAAAACGTGGCCTGCGCCGATGGTGCTTGAAACATCAAGCATGGTATATGGTGACTGTTAGTGTTCATCGAGGAAGGAGAACACTCAGGCCGTCGACCATTCATCCATTTCGTTAGCTGCACTAAGTCTGTTGTGTCCTTGTATTCCATGGGCACACACTCATGAAGCATGGCGTCTGAGCTGTGTTCACAGAGCGGGGAGATGCTCTTGCTGCTATCTTATCTGTCCTGTGTATTCCCAAGTGCCGAAGGCTCACAACAATGGTGTTGGACAAGTCAGATAAAATAGAGTCAACGTAAGTACGCATGTGTACTCTTACCGTGACTGAAACATAAGTGGGGTGTAAGAGCTAATTCATATGGTGTCGTGACATTCACATGTACGAGGTTAGTGTGTAGTACTTGTTACGTACTGAATTCTGTGACTTTGTTTTGTCTCCATATACTGCATGCATTCACGTTTCACAGTTATCAGTTTGCCCCTGAGTTCATGTCTGTTATCCCGTGTCTCCTCTACTCAGGCGCGTAGCACCGCCGTTGGCGGTGGTCCGGCCGGGGGGGGGGGGGGGAGGGTTCGGGGAGATCTCCCCCCTAATTTTTTTGAAATTAGGGTACAAAATCCTGCATTCTGGGCACTTTTGGCATTGTTTTACTATGGTGGTCGTGGTCGGGCGAAAAAGTGGTCCGGCCGGAGCGTCTGCTACGCCCCTGCTACTTCTTTTTGTTTCCACACGGTTCATGGTGTAGCGCTGCACGTGTTCCATCAGTTTGAACTTCAGCATAAATCGCAACTACTTGTACTTTCAGACATGTCACGTGATTGTTGCCAGGGTTTGAGCCAATCAGAGCGCTTACAGGCAGGGCCTGAACCCCTGATCATGCCCTGCCTGCCAGCTCTACTACGATATATGTCACGTACCCGCGCTGCACGGTTCTCCTGCGCTTGGGCTTGCTTTCCCTTGATAGTTGGAAGTCAGTGGCTGCTTTAGAACTCTTAGATTATGCACAGAAAGTGGTGGACATCACGCAACTGCATTGTAAATAAAAGGGGGGTTGTCAACTGACAACCGCATAATTTTTCGACATAATTAATAAAAGAATTTTCATCTAAAGAGTGAATAGCAACTAAATAGAGCGGTTGTCGGTTGACAAACCCCCTTTTAGGCCAAGTAAAAAAAAAAGCTAGATGATCGTCCCCGTCCGCCCCAGTTTTTGTCAGCGCCCCAAGAAATATTTTATTTTTTAAATCGTGAGTTTTTGCCGAAATCGTTGGTTTTTTACCGATCGCGGATGCAGGAAACATGTGCACGCTTTGTTTAATACTTTCTTTACTATATGGACCACATACTACTAGTATATCACAACGTCAGTATCGATCTGCTGAAGAAAGAAAAAGAAAAAAAGAAAAAAAAAGAAAAAAAGAGAAAAAAAACCTTGATGTTGTTGTGTACACTGTGTGCATGAGAGGGTAAAAAGTAAAAAAATAAAAATAAAATCCTCCCGCCCTCCCCGATTTTTCCAAAAAAAAGGACGATCATCTAGTAATTTTTTTTACTCGGCCTTATTTAGATTATGTATCTGAAGTAAATATCACAATTGTCTCTTGTGTATTATATCCGTCTGATGTCACCAGATCATCACATGGTGCTGTGACCAAGATACGGATCATGACGAACGCTGATTCAACTGGACGAATCGCAACCTGACGACGAAGAATCGCGAGGCTTTTCAGATGCAGGGACACAATGGAAACTGAACGACTTCAGAACAGCACTGAAGCGTTATCATGCAAGACGCCTTTCTGCGCCGCACAAACACAGGCGGTACTACAGCAGAAGATGTCACTCACTATTCTGCAGGTGCACTGGTAACAGGCGCATGCAAGTTCACGTGAAGGAAGCGGTCTGATGGTAACTGGAATGCCAGCAGTATGAGAGGGTGTGCATTCTGCGGCGGATCTCACCTGGACAAGAGCTGCACGAAATACACAACAGTAGCACAGTGGAAAGAATAACTGATTGAACAGAAGCGTTGCTTTGTGTGTTTGCGCACAGGGCACCGGTCAACTCAGTGCAAGGCCACCCGCAAGTGTAATGTGTGTTCTCGCATGGGTCACCAATCAGAGTCACCATCATGTCACGATCTGCCCTGAATCTCAACAGAAATCTGACAGCAGGACCAACATAGTAGCTGATCAGCCTGTGGCTGACGAGGTACCAGCATCTGGCGCAACAGCAGCTAGTGCAGCATCAACCAGTATCGCCATTGACTGTAAGATAGTCAGTCATCTTGATCGGTGCAGATTTCCTCTGGGAATTTATGACGGGGAGCACCAGAGGACTTCCGCCAGGACTACAGTTTCTACCTACCACAGTCGGTTTTGTGGTGACTGGCCGAACACGTCACTCCAAGCACTCAGCTATGCCGATGAGCAGCCATGCCAGCTATCGTTTCTCTAACTGATGCAACTTCCGACTCCTGCACCATCCCAGATCTGTGGGACCTAGACTGAGTTGACATCCAGGATTCAGGCAATCTTACTAACAACGACCTAGCCATTAGGCAATTCATCATTGTTC